GGATTGATATCAGACAAGAATGCGTATTCTTGCCATTTATATTTCTTCTGGTCATTTTCCGAGAGACCTTCACATTTCAGGAAAAGCGAAGAATTCGGTGGATACATTGGATACAGACAGATGATTTGACAAATCAATGGCAATATTCCTAAAACTGAAGAATATCTGGAGCCTAAAAGAACTGCCACCCAGGACCAAAACCGGAATTTTCAACATTGACGTTAAAACCGTTCTTTTGTACAGGCCGAAACTTGGGTTACGGATTTGGAAGCAAAAATCAAGACTAAGGATAGGACTTACTAACAACTGAAACGTAGAACCCAGGACAGAACTATCTAGAGATCCCTGGTTGACAGTCTATTCCTCAAAAGGGCTAATGAACTTAAGAAATTATGTTGACTAACTGTTCAAATAAAACTACATAGTTTTCTGTTACCTGGACGAGCAAAAACATAAAAGCAATGCTGAAAGTTTTACCTCAAGTTTTATCTAATGTACACATCGAATAATTTGTTTTAATAGGTTAACATAACATGCGGATTCTGTGATATTTTCGAATAACTGCTAAAGATGGCAAAGATTGGAATGTTAGTCTATTAAAAATATTAACGATTACTTATATGATATTTAGTTATTTGTTTCATTTATTTGAACATATAAATATTGGTACAAGAGGGCACCTAATACATATGCGCCACACAAATCTCATTTGATTTATGTGAGGGCTGTGATACTGCCCGAGTGCCTAAACCGAAGCAGGTGGTTTTCTTAGAGGGCCACACCCGGAGCCATCGACCTGAAGGTCTGATCCACGAGCCAATGGAGCATCGTAATAAGATGCAGTCTCATGTTAGTCGGTGACTAATAATTGGTTCATACGCCATTTGTTCCCTCAGGGTACTGGAGCCCATGTGCACCAATGCTTTTGAATCAGGGTTTTCCAACTCCCCTAGGTGGACTCTCCGTGTCCACCTTCCCGATTGAAGTGCCAGACATTCGCTTCTCGTCCTCTCAATTTCATAAACAACAGTAATGCCGCGAGAAGGCATTGAATAGGACTTTCCTGGCAGAGGCTATATACGCGTGGCCATGTGAGAGCATTTCGAGAGGATGAGCTGACTCTCCCCACTCTCGGCCGTACCAGGGCATTTGAAGGTACTTATACGATAAGCCTAAAGAGCTGAATAAAATCGATCAGAAATATTGATTAACTAGCAAATGAGTTTGTTTTTTCATGCCTATTAAGGTTAACTATTTTATACATGCCCTGGTTCAATCTTTTAAAAAAAACAGTTTATTTTATATTGATTATTATAAAATTGATCATTCTAATGAATAATGAATAACGTTCTCATTGATTTTCGATAAATCCAAGCTTATTTATACACTAATGATTATTTTATATTCGTTCATTGAAATCATTATACTTAACTACTTAAAGTAAATTAATTAATTAACGGTTGCAATAATCTTTTAATAGCTTATGATGTAATAGGTTTTCTGAGAGTTCTTTCACATCTTATATTATTGTACATGTAATAAAACAAAACTAACCTTGAATAAAAACGTTTATTTCTTCTTCTGTTGTTAAAACAAATGTAGTTTACTTTATACAAATTTTCATTTTCATATCTGTAATTCATATGAGAATAAGTGATCAATACTTTGAGAATCAAATCTCCTACTTAACTAAATCCATGGGAATACCATTTACTTTTTATAATTTTGCATTGTAATTGGTGTTTTGTTATGCATCATTATGAAGTGTTCCATGGTATAATTTAGTTCATGTGATTTGTTTGGTTTAACATGTATCTCATGAATGAATGGAAATCTTAAAGTATTTTCTCTGTCTAATAGTTTGTTTTTATATAATCTTATAATTTACCAGAAGGGGTTTTATGGAGATTTTAGAAATTTCAATAGTTAAAATCATGATTCAATTAAAGCTAGACCACCATGGAAAACCTGGAAGCACTATATGGCTGTTTCGTCTTAGTATAGGACTCCTCAGCAGTGCGCATCCAGGATCCCTCCCCCCCGCGAGATTCGAACCCAGGACCTATCAGTCTCGCGCGCGAGCGCTTAACCACTAGACCCCTGAGCCAGCATCCAACAGTGTTAATATCTAACTTCAACCATTACTTCAGAATCCATAACTTACATCATGGATTCATTTTAATTAGAAAAACATCGAAAAATAAGAAATATTGAATAATAAAAAAGGGAGTTATAGTGTAGAAATGAGTAAATGACACTATTCGATAGCTTACTATCATCTGTAGTCGAAGGGATAATTGATAGACCACTATAAGTGGTTTGTATTTAATGTATGGTCATATATAAACTAGTCTTCAAAAAGAAATAATTGCTCATCAAGTTTCTTTTGATTTCAATACATTCTAGCCCTACAGATTTCATCTATTTCTTAGTAAAATGTTACTTTGGACACTATAGCTACTTTTTAGTACTTTCTTGTGTATTAACACTATACGTGATATAATTGTTTATGTAGATTTCTTCACAATTATTTGATAATCATTGAATAAAAGATCGAAAATTAACGAGCTCATCATGAGAACTGAATCTGATAACAGTAAATTGCAGAACAAGATTCCTGACCAAAGAGAAGTGAACTTCATAAAATTTGACAGTTTTCAACGATTATGGAGATAATTTTATTGATATTATGGACCAACCTAAGATCATCGGTGAAAACTCGGAAATAATGAACGGCCGCTTCGTCCTAGTGCGGGACCCCTAAGATGTGATGTTGAAATATTTAAAATAACTGGTTTCATTAGATAAAACAGTTGCACATTTATATAGATTCCATCTACATACACTTAACAAAAATATCGAATCTTCTATCGATAAAATGAACATTTCGTTGATATTAAAACTGGCGGAACTGTAAACAAAGAATACTTTTTTAAATTATTCACTATCATAGTTTTTAACAGAAGTTAACAAGTACAAGAAAGATATATTGAAAGGAAATACTCCCCCCAAGAAAGCTAAAATCATTTTTATTATGCTAATGATCTTCATATGAAAACCACAAGCAAATATCAATCAATGCTACTTGTAAAACCTCTATTGAGTTTAAAATAACGAGCTTTTAAGTTGTTATTGGAAACGCTTAAGGGGTAACTACAAAATTTACGAGTAGTATAGAGAAAAATTCTACGTTTAAGATCTTAATAAAGCAATGTGTGCGTGTCATAAAGGCTATCTAGACTCAAAAACATCGTTATTTACTTACTAGTGACTAACTTACAGCGGTAATTCTTTGATTTCTAGTTCGAATTCGTGACCAGGAGAGTTCAATCATGGTAGTGATGCAGTTACTCACCAATGAAATTGGAAGATGGTTGTACAGTGTCACAAGTCGACTGAATTTAGAAATGCAAAACGTAAGATACAGACTTAAAGGCTCAAGTGGTAGTCGTTCGCCACGATGATTTAGTGTTTTAAATTCGCTTTCTGTTAGGGTAATGTACTGGCACCTCTCTAGAGTCTTGTTTTATGAAGAAACAGATTATCAGTGATTCTTTGTTTACAATGATGGTCTAAAATCAATCCGTAATGTAAAGCCATAAAATCTCTTAACTATTTTCAGTTACCTTTTTGTTCTTTAGGTTTGATGTTAGTAATGGCAGGAGATTTTGATGTCGTTGATCATCACTTTACTTTATATATTCAGATAATTGAACATTTGAATGTTTTCCAATTAAAAAGGTAGTACTCTAGCTTCATTAGTCTAAATAGTGATTTATTTGCTAATAAATTTCCCACTATTATTGATACTTGAGTCATTTGAATATGCTTATATCTTTCCACAATTCCGATTGAATTCGTTTATTAATACTTGAAACTGTAGCTGATGGGCAGTTCAACTTTTTCAAAAGTCAGTTAACTTTTATAAATTAAAATTACTTGAACACTTGAGACACCCAACCTATGAGTAGTCATTTCACTGAATTTATGTGGTATTCACACCTATCGTTTTCATTTCAGTATTGAGGCATATTAACAAAATCAATCCTAGATGGGTTATTCAACTATTAATCAGTTATTTTTTTGTCGACTTCTAGGAGTAAACTTTTTGATATAGTTATCAAAATGAAAACTAAGCAGTATATTTGCCAATCGTGGAACGCTAAACAACTTATATAAAACTGAAGAATGATTGACTACTGAGTTATACGAATCAGCTATTAGTAAATTGAAGAGGTCTCACTTTCCTCAAAGCAGGATTAACTGTGAACAACCATTAGAACTTGTGATTTAATTAACCAAGTGCCAGAAAATTGGTTCCATTTATAAATTATAATGGTTGACTTCATCTCAAAGGTTCAAAACCATCTATGAATAGACTTTAATGTGAACTAATAATCAACCGAAGTTGGATGATTACAAACATGATCGATATCTCTTCCGTCTTTCTAGATATTCTTACAGCAACATTTGCTGAAACTTATTGTCTTTAATATGCTTCGGACTAACAATATCAAGCTACCAATTTCAACGTACAAAATATCGTCAAACTGTTTTAGTTAATTGACAATACGGACAATAAGTTTTGTACATTCTATATTAAGTAAGGCCCAGCGAAATTTTACAAAACTTATTAAATTATTAATTCAAGGTATATTTAGGACATACAAAATTTAAATATAAGGGACGATAAATGAAATGATGAACTAAATCGACAAGTATTATTTTCTTGACTGATATTAATTAAGTAATTCGAACTGGTAGTCATATTTCTTTACATTAGACATTAAAATACTACTAATTATAATGTGCTTTGGTTGTTAATACAAAAAGGGAAGTAACTGACACGAGAAGAGACAAAATTAAGAAGGGTAAGAAGAAGAAGAAGACTGACAAAACGTTCAACATTGTTTGGCTTTACATATATCCGTGAATTCCGGTTTTAATGAAGCCCCACCAACCAAAAATCCATCGACATCATGTTGTTGAGCTAATTCTTTACAATTGGCAGCAGTTACAGATCCTTTGCGTGTAGTAAATAAAAGGAGAAAGAAAAAAATACGTTTTTTAATACAGAGCATAGATATTGACGTTAACATTCAAAATTAATACTGCATTTCTAAGGATTAATAACTGAATAGTTGGACTATAGACAGCGAGGGATTTCAAGACATATCTATTATACTGTTTGAGACTCTCTAGTTGCATTCACCTGCTTTTTGGTTTTAATATCCATGTTGGGAATCAAACCCAGTGCCATTCACGTTAAAAGATAATGCAATATTCACTGAGCTACTGAGTTCAGAGAGCCACTGACTTGTTCTATGAGAAGATCTGTCTATCATTAGGAGTGAAGTATTTAAGTTACATCCAGCTGATTAGTCTAAAATAATATAAAATGTATCGTCAATTTTACTACTAGTGACAATCCATCTATTGTAAACGATGTACATATAGCGTCAGTATACAACACAATAGGTATATATTCCAGCAAGAAGAATTCAAATCCAATGATGAATGTCAACAATGAAATAGTTCAGACACTTTTTTTCCAGTTATAGAGTCATCATATCCCGTAAAAAATGTAATTGGTTGTCTAGATTCATTAGCTTAGTGGATAATGTACAAATATATAAATCAAAAGATAATGAATTTGAGTCTCAATGTAAATATTAACAATAAGGTGCAAATACATGTAACTGATAAATTTCATATAGGATAATAGATTCATTTTGAATTATAGTGCTAACCACAAAATATCTATTCTATGAAATAGTTATATTGGAACAATTCACAAAAAAGAAATGCACAAATACCAAAGAAAGAATAATGAAATTTCACTCTTAAATATCAACACAATAATAATTTAAAACAAGCCCGCAAATGCCCTGGTGCGGCCGAGAGTGAGGAAAGTTCGCTCTACCTCTCCAAATGCTTTCACATGACCACGTGTATATAGCCTCTGCCAGGAAAGTCCTACTCATTGCCTTCTCGTGGTAGGGGTTTTGTCCACGAAATTGGGAGGACAAAAAGCGAATGTCCGATGCTTTAACCGGGTTGGTGGACACGAACAGTCCATCTAGGGGAGTTGGAAAACCCTGATTCAAAACTAATGGTGAACATGGGCTCCAGTAACCTGAGGGAACAAATGGCGTATGAACCAATTATTAGTCACCGACTAACATGAGACTGCATCTTATTACGATGCTCCATTGGCTCGTGGATCAGACCTTCAGGTTGAAGGCTCGAGGTGTGGCCCTCTAAGAAAACCACCTGCTTCGGTTTGGGCACCCGGACAGTATCACAGCTCTCACATATATCAAATGAGATCTATGTGGCGCATATCTGTTTGGTGCCTCCTTGTACCAATATCTATATGTTAAAATAAACAAATAATTAATTAAAAATTAAGGATTGAAATTGTCCTGAAATAAACGCTTTATATACAATAGTGATTATAATCACCAATAAATCAAATGAAATATATTTAATATAAACTATAGATTATACTCTTTCCTTATATAATACTACGAAATTTTCTTTTATTTGTTCAGATGTTTACTTTGCAGTGACATATTATTATTGTTATTATTATTATTACTAAACTTCTTCTAAAGGCTTTGAATTGCATTTTAAAATATAGAGAGTTTTCTGGTTAGCGTTTTTTAGCGAGTTAGTTTTCTACGGGATGGGAACGCTAACCCCATGCCCAACCCTCCTCCTTTACCCGGGCTTGGGAGCGGCAGTAACTCTAGAAGAGCTACAGGCGGAGTTATAAAATATAGAGGCTAAAATAATAATGTAAAAAATTGTTTGAATTTATTTTATATTTAATTCAATTTAATTAAATTATCATTAAAAATCCTTTAATTAATAGAATGTAAATTTCATTTGTTTCTTTTATTAATCAATAGTGTTACATCATTCAAAAGAAATATGACATAATTATTGATAAATATCATAATGGTAGATAAAAGTAATAAACTTTGAAAACTGTCATCAATATTCTTTCTTTTCTTTTTTTGAGAAGAAAATTCCCTACTATGAAACTTATGCTTTGTATTTGTATTTATCTAGAAATTATCAGTTAGCAACTGTTAGTCATAACTTTTAGGCTTGTTAATGGGAATTATTCACAATATTTAAGTTTTGATTATCTAACCAAAAAAGAAAAAAACACAGTTTGAATTGAAACTTCACTTCTATAGTCTGTTCAAATATAGAAGTAAGAATTTATCAATATCAATAATAGGAAATTGAAAGTTTGAAAACTATCAGTAAGAAATGACAAAATGATTAGTAATTTATTGGTTGATTAAAAATCCAATAAATGATTCAAATTCTAGAATGAAACAACATTTACGAAATGTGATAACTGACTCAAAGTATCTAGCACATATTTCAGTTACTTAGGGAGTTTTGAAGAGAAACTTAATAATCTCTAACATAAGGTTATTTCTACAATTATTGAATTAAAAAAATATTTTAAAACGTGAAGAAAACTTAGGTAAAAACATAATAAACTAATGCCCTTGAGTTAACCAATCAGAATTAAGATAACGCTCCACGTGAATTTTGAGCGAAGTTTAAAGTGCAGTGATAGATAATGTGTCTTTTATTGCTAACCAAGTGAAAATTGATTATATTTGGTCCTTAAAATGTTTAAAATCAATGAAGATATTTATCATGAAACAATAAAGTGGATTTTAAATGACCCTTAAGCTAAACTACATAACATGCTCGCTCGAGAAGCAGACAATGTTAAGGCATTTGACGTTCTTCGTTGGGTAATCAAGAGTATTTAGATGATGTTCTCGTTTTCTTACCCTCACTCGAAATCTTAGCCCTAAGTTTCTTCAGCCTCTAGAAAAAAAGGTAGCAAAGCATTTAGTCAATGCTAATGTCAGTTCGTGTTGAAAACCTTGACCCTTATTTGTAAAATTAATTCAAAACTCGAGCTTGACTGTTGGTACCGAACCCAAATCTTCTGTATTATAACTGATATAAGTTTCGGATAAAAACTCTGTAGAGTGATAACCACAACTCACAACACTAAAACGATTTACTATATGTATTCATATACCCTTCTTTCTTTTTTCCAAGGGATGATTTGTCTTGTTATGGTTAATTATCACGATCAAAGCTGTTATTTCACTATTATTTCATTACTTCGTATCGTTAATTGTTTCCTGATTGGCTTATTATTCATTCAAGGTCTTCACTATATGATACTTTTATCAGATAATGTAATGTCAACTCATCTAATTACAGCATTTTATACTGAATAAATATAATAAAAATAGAACAACTGAGTAAAAGTTTATTAAAAAGAAAATCAAAATAAGATTCACTAACCACCATAGATAATACGTATTTTTTCATCAACTCCACTTGGTGCGTTTGTTTTAAACCATTTACGAAGGAAATTATGAACCTCTTGAGCTTGCTGTGGTGTAGCAACTTTACCTGTTCCAATAGCCCAAACTGGTTCATATGCTACAACTACTCGTTTCCATTCATCAGCTGATTTAATCTTATCTAAAATGAAATGGTATTATTTCAGTTAAAATTATTACAAGATATTTGATGGTTTTGTATAGTAAGCTAAACTTGAATAATAAAATAAGGAACAAATGTGTCTAGTAATTGCTATTATCATGTATCGAACTAAATGCTGACTGGACTTGAAACATTGTTTGGTACCTGACTAAATATCTGCTATTTATTTAAAATTTTACAATTTAAAATAGAACTTCCTAAATTCATGTGAATTGTTGGATTAAAACAAAATATTTGACTCAACAAAGAAATTTTCACTGATGAATTTGAATAAAATGTAGTCAGTTAATTTATCAGGCAGTCAACAAAGAAAAGAATTTTAATTTGGTGGGGTTCTTCTGTTGATGACGTCTAGGAGTATATAATTTTGATAGGCACAATTTATAAATGTTGTCTTGATTAGATTTTTAAAATACTAGTTATGTTTATGCTATGTATTTGAGATATCTAAAGTTAATTTCTAATTACAAATAACTCGTATATCCTTCTTATATGAAATGGAATCTATGCGAACTACGCAGGCCGGAAGATTCACATACTACAACACGTCAACGTCATTAATCCATCAACGAATAAAACAGGAAGAATATCGATTAATCTGGACTGGTGATCCAGTTACCGTACAAATTTATATGAAGAAACTTTCCCAAACATCGCATTCTTATCTTCACTGTTAGGGAGAATGATTTTTTTTAAAGTTGATGAGTGAATTTTCGATCAGTGAATTGAATAAACAGAATATTGGTTGATAAGTTTTAAGCACAGATACAAAATATGGTTGCTCATATGATTAAATTATTAACATAAACCTTCGAATAATTTAAGATCAATGACAAGACCACGAACTTGTTGAACAGTTTTTCATGTAATAACATTATTTAGTTATACACAAATTTCTATTAATGAAATCAACATTGATTGGTGAAAATCAGTTTGTAAGTCGCTTACTTGTTGCCCAGTAATATTAAATAAAAAATGATAAGAATATGAGTAAATGAAAGATTTAATCGCATCAAATTTTTCTTGTATAAACATTTTTATTAGAAAGAATGGTAATTAGATATATTTTGATCAATATTTTAATAGTACAACTAAAACTTTTCTCAATTTATTTAGCTTTCCAACTTAAAATTAAAGATTCTTCTTCACTGAGGAGAACAGAAAAAATGAATATGCTTTATTTGCTCAACAACAAAAAAGTAATCCTCATTATTGTAACCAAATTAATCTCTTATTTTGACAGAATAGAAGTTAAAACAATGATATGTTTAGTTCAAGATTCAATACTTTTTTTAGAAATTAAATAAAACAAGAGAAAGTGTGAAGAAATGACAATTAAGGATTTTCACACTTTGAAGTACATACAAAAGTAGTGATTATTTTGTGATGTAATATACTTCTAGATGTCAGGTGATTATTAATAATACTACTGTGAAATCAATGATAACATAACGAACTATATAAAATTTTACGTAGTTATCATCAATTCTGGATGTGAGACAAATGACCGTCAGTTCAGTTTAGTGTAATCATTTCAAGAGAGAGAATTAAAATCAACAAGACAAATAGTAATTCATTCAACATAATATCTGTATGAATACTAGTAAAACATACTAAGAATTTAGAATATGATTTGAAGAACAGATATGAAATAAAGCAATGTGAAGTAAACTTTAAGATAAGCTTACTTGCGATAGCTTTTAACTGTCTAACGCACACTTCTTCCGTTTTATTAGATTCACGCTCTGATAATGTTTCACCAATACATGCAATAACGCTTAAACCTTCAGCAAGTGCATGTTGAACTTTTTCAGCAATAAGCTTTGTTATAAAAAAATATGGGAAATAATTTTAATAAAAAATGAAAAAAATATTCTGGTAAATATTTTACTAAAAGATAATACATTGAAAATTGATATTACATACATCGAATAATCAGATGATTGTTTGAGCCAAAAACTATATATTTGTAATATATTGATGATTTTATGAGTTTATGTTCAGCTTTTATCACGTGATTTATCCACCAATAAAAATACGACTTATACAATCTTCACACTGTGCCAAACCAATGACTTTCGATCGGTATGGGCAGCCTAGCGTCCTTATTGATCCTATGTCCACCTAGCTTTTCCAATTGAGTCCAGAACACCAAATACCAGCTTCCAATATGCGAATCGAATCGAATCATTTATCTCAGACATACTTGGTTTATATATCAACCAAACAGACCGCAAAGCACCATAAGATAGGAAATAACATTTGTACACAATAAAGCCAAAAAGTGACTGTGAACGTGGGAGGCAGTAGTTAATAAACTGAACAGCTTAAGAACAGTAAATCGTACAATAATAAATTATGGGTCAAAATAAGCTTATAATAAGAGGAATATCAATATACATGATCTAATTATCGAATAGTTACACCATAAGAATGTATAGATAATATTAGTCAATTAATATGTCTCAGAAGTTACCCGTGATTTAATCTTCGCTCGGATATAACAGATGAGTAGAAAAAAGTTGAACTTCTGACTATCACACTAAGGTATAGAATATTGCAATAGACTATTTTGAAAATTGATCCTAAACAATGCTGAATTTCCTACGGTAGTTTGTTAAGTTTTAAATGGAACAGAGCTTTAAATAATAAACTGTGTTGTTTGTGATGAGTCGTTTAAACTTCAAGATAGTTTCTGTTACAAACTCATATCAGTTAGATAATTACGGTCAACTAGGGAACACTGAATATCTGCATTGTACATATTTCAAATTCCTATTTAATGCACGTGAATTTTACATCAATTCATGTAGAAAGCTTCCTTCTAAACATTCACATTAGTAAAAATTTAAAGTGGAAACAAAGAAAACACTTGTCTGATGTTTTGATGTGAATCGATTGTTTTATCCAATGAAATAAACAGCTAGCTCAAAGTCAACAACTACAAATCAATCGATCGATTTTATTAGATGTTTCTTATTTTTGTAGCGCAATAGGAATCGATAAGCTAACATACTTTTGAATACATTAAGCGAGTTTTGGGCATAGCTCTACCATTTAAAAAATCATTTTTAAAACCGACTTAACTCAATAACGACATGGAACCATGTAATATTTCAGTTGAGAAGTTCTCATTGGAAGAGAGGTGCAAACTAACGAACGATTTGCATTCTAATACGTTGAGAACAGTTTTTTCTTAAGGTTTTTACCTAGTATGATTGCCTTACTTTTTATATCTATCAACGGATTCAATTACTCAGAAAGAAGGTGATAAATGTACTCATATTTTATATCATAGTAATATGAGAAAACTAAAAGGAGGAAATTCAAATAGTAAAATTAGTTATATCAATAAAGTGGCAGACTAAAATTACGAGAACGGTGTTTGAAATGTGGAATCGAGTAAAAGTATGTATGGGATATAATTACCACAAGTCAAACCAGCAGTCATGAAAATTATTTGCTAATGTAATGGATTGGAGAAACGGCTGCTAACTTTATTTCAATATGTTCCTATGCTGATAAGTTTTCTAAATAAACGCTTGATTCGGTTTCCTAAGCTCTTCTAGTAAATCCCAGGCTAAACCTACACAGCAACCTAACATCAAATGGTGGCCGCTTATAAGTCAGTTATCTGATCCATTACATGTAGCAATTACTCCAACTAATATCAGAATGATTCACTCTCTAGGTACCCCATTACAGAGTAATAGTTCAAAGAAAACTACCAACCGAAGCTAGTAACTTGAACAATCAAACACTATTTTACATAGACATAAATCAAAAGAAGACAGGACGTTGAGGATTATATTAGCAGGCACAAATATTGCTTAATCTATGATATTGTAAGTCGTCAAAAGCTACATTTTAATTTGTTTGCAAATAATTTGTTATTCTGTGATTAGTTTTTAGCTGAAGATAACTCATAACTTATCGTTTACTTTAGCACAATTTAGGTTTTATCTCAACAACACTGACGATATTATTTTGCATTTTGTTCCCAAAATGCTCCAGATAAGACAAACTGTATTTATGAAACATTTAAGGCGCTTATTAGATATATAAGAAACATCTTTTGATGGATTTCTACTGTTATGGCTCAAAGCAGACAGCCCGATTATATGACAGTGACTTATCGATCGGATCAAGGATTCAGAATCTCGATAGTCTATTCTGGTCCGTTGTCCCCAACTCTGCTAACTCGATCAAAAAGTCTGGGTAAGGTGTAGAAAGTGTATTCTACAGACAACAGCAGATAACAAGTCAGGCAGGCAGATCAGATCAAGCATACAAGTCAAGCGTATTTATACAAATATTTACAATCGATATTGTCATGGAAGATTTTTGAACATTAATCAACAATTGACTGCTATTTGAACATTCAATCGATAGTTCATCAATTGACCTATTCGTACATTTAATCGATAGTTCATCAATTGACCTATCTGCATATTTAATCGATAAGTAAATTACAAAATTTGAGTTTTGGGGATCTATCGTCCCCAACATCTACCAAATAATGATAAACAACTTGAACGTTTATGTATTACCACCTCAAATTCACATGGTTGAATTCAAAAACGACATTTTTAAGGAGATAAATAGAGTACACCTAGCCAATTAGACAGGCCAAATAACAAATGGTAAGTTCTGAGGAAACAGATACGCTTTCGATTTAAAATGGGGATTAATCTTCTGAGGTTTATAGACGTACGTATACGGAGGGTTTTTGGATGTACTTTTAACTCGCTTAGACAATAATATGCTCAAATCCACCTTTGACTTTCTCAATCGAGTATCTGGTCGTACACGAGTATGGAAAGCTTGAATGCCAGTAGAAGACTCGGACGACCACAGGACATAAAAAAGTGGAATATGTGTTCATAAATATCCTCAACAAACACTAAATTTTTCCGATTGCATCATAACAAAAAGAATCAAAACCAACTGTCTAATCCAAATTATCGATTACCGAATGATATTCCTGACAAACAAATGTACATAAAATAAAATCACAAGTAATTGGTTCAAATCTATCGCAGTTTTTATTTTTACTATATTTTAGTAGTCCAGATATTGGATTAGGATCGTGAAATCTAGTATGTCCATCAATTTTATAACACTCAGTGCAGTTTCTCAAAGTTATGTATATTGACAATGATCGGTAGTTTTCTTTTTAATGGTAAATATATATCATATCTGTTGAAACATTTACAAATGAAGAAATCTGGTCAATCTCAGTAGTCAATTAAATATACAATGGACATTTTACTGCAATCAGTATGTCACGGATGTTTTATTTTAATGTGACTATTTTCAGCAAATATAATTACACACCAGATACACTCTCTAGGAACGTTCACAGCAAATATCTTTCAAGATTGAACTAGTTGTTGCAAACCTTTGTTTTATAAACTAACAAATAGGTAAGCCAATATTTATCTTAATGTTTATAAATCAGTTATAATGTATCAAACCAGATAGGTGTTAAGTATCAGAAATAAATGAAGGTAGTTGTATTTCTGTCCACAAAATTACTGTTAGAAAGTCCATTTATATATCATAAAATAGTTGTTTCCTTATGATGGTACTGTTAAAAAAACCTACTTCGTCAGATTCACCAAAAATGCTCCTACGCTCAGAATGACCAAGTATTACCCATTCACAACCAATATCTTTTATCATTGCAGGGCTAAACAAGATTTGTGGAGAGACAAGAATAAAGTTGATATATAAGTTACTACTAATTTAAAGCAAAGACGGAGAAACGGTATTCAGTATATATTTTGTCTTTCCTAATAACTGTGTCAAAAGAAAAATCTTGACTTCACTTACTTATTACAGAAAGATCAAACATCGCGATGTAAGAAATAGCATACTTTTATGCATAAAAGTATAAAGCTGTAAATAAATCATCATAATAAATAATTTCGTAAGTCTTCGACGTTGATCCTGGCCTCGTTAGTTTTATTGAACACACCATAGTTTTAGGCGCTCAGCCAAGCATCCGCACCAGATCACTAATGAGCAAGCCCTATTATGTATTCCACGCAACAACTAGTCAGCTTAGCTCATATATTTTCCGACATATCGACTGCCTTTTAAATATACCTCCGAACACTCCCATTCTTGACTCCTGGTTTGACTGGGTTTGCGATCGTCTATCAAAAAGGTATTACAGATGACAGCGTTGTCAAGCCCTGAATACCTTAAACATATTTCAGCAGCTTATTGCATTGCGCTAACTTGACAGTGTGATTTGTTTTTAAGTAACACATATTTATCGTTAAAAAAAGTTGGAAATAGCATTAAAGAACAAATCATGTAACAGTAGACCCAGTAAGTCTCGATTTTTTTTACTTAGTTACAGGAGAATAAGAAACAGGGAGATATATTTTTTCTCACCGACAGCTGCCACTATCTGAAATGACATCCAGCCAGATGTAGTCTGTTACCTCACTAGAAGTTTTTGATAATGGGCTTGACAACACAGAACTTAATCATGACCTACAACCTCTAGTCCAAAATAACTGCGCTTGATACGTGTCTTGCTGCTCATCTATCATTATTATTACTCCGCTTCTATCACTTTCTTCTCACTGTTCATTTGTCATCCTTACATTTCGGTTTGTTTATACTGTTTGCATAGTGACTTTATTTACGTCCTATAGCAATGGTCTTTTCTAAGCCACAGTTTCTTTACTTTAAAACCTCCATATGGTATCTATTCGGTAGTTTGATAAATTTTGGTTCAGAAGACGATACTGCCCTGAACCAAATTAATTCACTCAAGATATACAAACTGATAAATAACTACAGAAACTAATGGGACTGGCCAAATTGCTAGACTGCTTCCATAGAAATCCATTAAAGACCTGAGTCTGTATCGTAAAACCAAGGAAGGAGCACAAACAAAACATATGATTTAAACGAGCTCATCAATATAATCTCTTAAATTTAAAGTAAGCACTTAAGTGGTCAAAAATGTTTCCACTGAATACTGTCCATTGGATTTCGCTTTGCTTTATTCGCCATCTTTTATTTACTTTTAGCTTCAATACACATAGCCATCCAGTATGTGGTAAAAGGTTTATTTCTGCTGTGAAACCATAGCCTTTGGCAAAGACGCATGTTATGTTCTTATTTTTTGGTACTAACAACGAATCAAAACGTCTTTATGGTTTCAATCATATAAAATTGAATAGAAATATTTTTCGGATCATTTAGCAACTATAGGAGGTTGAAGAGAAACAGTTACCTGATTTCTCCAGTAAATGCACCCTTTGATACTTTATAACAATTTTGAGCAGCAACATGTATTTCCTTCTTCAAAATTTTTCGAACGTCGTGCAAAAATAGGGATGGTGGAGCAATTAAAACTTCTAAAATTGAAGTATTTTTCGGACGTGACGTCATAACAAACCTGTGTTGTCACCAAAATGAGCTTCTGAGAGCAATTTAAGTAACTTTTCGTTATCTTCTCTGCTTCCGTTCATTTTCCAGTTCCCTCCAACAAAAAATTTGCGAGATCCAGACATTTTTTTAGTGGACGGAACCTATAGAATTAGTAACTGAAAGAACTCTTCGACCGACGCGCTTAAATTCCTAATGAAGGAGTTCAGTAGATCTTTGTAGTAAAACACACTGCGTTAAAGTGATGTCCTTGAGTTGGTTTTTTGGTTACTGGCTTTTTATCAGTAAGGCAGTGATATTTTTTTATCTTCTGTTAGTTACCATGATCCCATTAATTTTGGTTCGGACATAATCGACTAGCAGGTATAGCCGGATCATGAATTCACTTAATTTCCTGATACTTTATCGCTTGTTTTAGACGCTCCAATCATCCATATGTTACTCACTGAGTCACTTGTATCGATTTACATTTATGTCTGGGAACAAGCTCGTGCTATTTCGTCTGAAGATCTTACGGACATAGATCGGAAAAAAAATATAGACGCGCGCTATTTAAAAAGGACAGTGGTATTTTTCCTCGCTGAATAAATTTGTTTGTTTTTATCGTTTATTACGAATCAAGACTACTGTTTTCACTTTAATTCAATTTATTTCAGTCAAAGTGTTCGACTAGAGTATCGTTTTTACTGTTCTCTAAATTAGTTTTGTCGTTGGTACTCTTGAGTACCTTTTTTTTCAACTGTATCTGTTAGTACTTTTGGTCCTAGCAATCTACAGCTCCTCACTGTTTTGGTCATTGATTATCTTTTTTGTTTCTGAGTGTCATCGTATCTTGAAAAAGTACCCCTCCTAAATGACCGGACAGTGTAAAAAAGCAGATGCCAACGTCCGGGTTGTCGTTATCCTGTTGAAAGCGGCATGCAGTGCGACGAGTGCAAAGGCTGGTACCACGAAGTTTGCACAAACTTAACGCCTGCTGCTTTCAAACGGTTCAGTAAGAAGGGTTGTGTGTGGCTTTGTCAACAGTGCTGCTCGGATGCAAACAGCTTGTTAACCGAGGCTATCTCACTGGTTGATGCTGCAAAGAAGTGTTTCAACAAGCATAGTCGGAACGCGTCAAACAGCACTCGATCTGTTGACACGCAAATCAATGTGAAGGAAACTAAGGTGAGTCCGGTGATAGATGACTCACGCCCGTCGAAGAAGGAAGAGCAGTCTCCAAAGGGGTCTGCCTTAAAAAAAGCTCAAGAAAAGTAGGGTCTTCTGTTCCCCGTCTCCCAGATGGGATCCAACAGGAAACACCTAGGAGCCGCAATCGCAAGGCTCGATCGGTTTCAAATGGTCAACATAACACGACCCCTCAGGTCGTCGATAACCCCCCAAAACCCAACACTAGTTTTGACGCAACTGCTATTGCTTCTACCAGCAGCGTTAACGAATGGGTAAAGGTTGTAAGGAAGAAAAGTATTGATATAAAAGGGAAACCTGCCCCCGTAAAACTGGTTGAAAAATCGAAAGCTGATCATAGCGACAGATCAGCTATTTTTCATAGAATTAAGGAGAGCGATAGCTCTGAACCTAAAGCTCGTTTTGAGCATGATATTGTACTGATTAGGCAGTTGCTTAATCAACTCATGCCTCAGAATATGACTGGGGTCACCTTGCTAAAGGTGTATAGACTAGGGAGTCTAACGGACTCGAAACCAAATCATTCCAGACTGCTTAAAGTAGTATTCGGCTCTTCAAACGAACGTGACCTAATTTTACAAAATGGACACAAATTAAAGGGTTCAGGAGTCTTTATCCGAAAGGATCTACCGTTGGCAGACCGTGTTAAAAGACGGGAAGCTGAGAAAGAACTACAACTTAGGTTAGACGCTGGAGAAAAGGACCTGAAAATTGTAAATTTTCGGGTTGTAAGACTTCGACAGAGAATGATGCCGAAGCCACTCTGGGTGAAGCACGAAAGCACTTAAACAGGCTTCGGATCTGTTACACCAATGCACGAAGCTTACTTAATAAGCGATCGGAACTAGGTGTACAGATTGACTCTACAAAACCAGACATAATCGCAGTAACAGAAACCTGGCTGACACAGGCTATAGATAGTATGGAACTTGATTTCGAAGGTTTTACGTTAGTAAGGGCCGACAGAACACAAAAGCGCAAAGGAGGGGGAGTAGCTCTATTCATTAGGAATGCTATCCCATTTGCCATTATCGATAGTGTATCCCATGAGAGTGGGACGTGTGAATTAGTTAGTCTTCGCTTAAAATGCAAGGGACAAGAGCTGCTGATTGGTTTGGTTTATCGCAGTCCAAGCTGTGAGGCAAAGGACATCCTGTTAAACAGTCTCAATACTTGGTCCCAAAGTGGTCGATGTCTAATCCTAGGGGACTTCAATGCACCTATGGTAGGCTGGGAAAATCTGCGAACTAAATCGTCGGAGAATTCTTTCGAGCAGGAACTAGTTGATGCGGTTATCACATGTGCTCTAGTGCAACATGTGAAAGAAGCGACTAGGTACGATCCGGACACTGAATCATCCTTATTAGATCTTATACTGACTCACTATGAGGATGATGTCGCGAACCTCCATCATATGCCACCCCTAGGTAAAAGTGACCACGCAGTTTTAACTTTGGACTTCCATATAACTGCCAGTCACGAGCACGCGTCAGTCCAGTCCGGACCCAACGTCTGGAAAGCAAACATACCGGGCATCATGCATTCAGCATCGTTAATAGATTGGACAATAGACCTATAGTCCTCCATTGAAACGGCCTGGGACGCATTTCGAAATTCATACTTAAAAGTTACCACACCTCACATCCCTTGGACTATACAAAAGGGGCCGAAAAAGTCACCACCATGGTTCAGTAGGGAGGTCCGTATCCTTCTCAGTAAGAAAAGGAAAATGTGGGATAGATTTAGGTTACTGGGGACTGATGAGTCAAAATCTCAGTATCGAAAGGCTCGGAATACTTGTGCCTCGACCCTCCATAAGTCTAGAGAACTGTACGAAGAAAAACTTGTTAAGGAATCTGTAGTGGCATTGGACAATAGCCACACAATCCACAAAGCTGTGAACACGAGACTACTCAGAAAATAGATATTCAATATTTAACGCGGAGAAATACCCAACGATGGGGAAGGCGCGAATAATGAATTGAATGGACTAGAATTGATCGAACGGCATGGCTCGGCCATGCAGGCGTGGTCTCTGCCGAATGTTACCTTATATCTTCTATTCATATTAAATATATTGTTCTTTCTCTAGCCTAACCTTGTTCTATATCATGTATTGGTAATTGATACGATACAGTGAGTTGGTGTAGTCGATGGTGTGACTTCCACGTAAGATCTTATAGATTAGGCAGTTATATCATGACGAATCTACAAATTTAGGATTAGGTCTATTATTAGAGCAGTACTAATATCATAGTAGACCATAATTCTACAAATCCATAGAATGTCCTAAACGCTTGTATTCCTATATAAACCAAAGGACAAGGAGAAAAGGAAATATTCCTGCTCTATGGGGAGATAGTACTGCTTCATCATTAGTGGAGGACGACTTTGGTAAGGCTCAAGTGTTCTCGAACTACTTTAGCAACGTATATACCATAGAAGCGCCCTTCCCGTCAGCGTACACAGATCTCCCCATACACACACTGGATAGCGTGGCCATTAAAGAACTCGATGTCTTTGGTCTACTAAATAAGCTTGACATAGGTAAATCCACGGGGCCCGATGAATTACATCCTAGGCTACTGAAGGAATTATCTAACTTCGTTGCAAGCCCTTTAAGTATATGCTTCAACTTATCCGTTACGCAGGGTCGTTTACCGAAAGACTGGAAAAACGCCATAGTAAGTCCTATTTCCAAAACGGGTACGAAACACAAACCTGAGAACTACCGCCCCGTTAGCCTAACTAGTGTGGTTATTAAAATCTTATAAAAGATTATTCGGATAGAGCTGTTTAAGTATCTCGATAAAAACCGGATCCTCTCGGAGAAGCAGCACGGCTTCAGAATAGGTTATTCTTGTCTCACTAACTTATTAGTGGCTCGTGAAAGCTGGTGCGCTCTTAAGGACCAAAAGTCACCTGTAGACGTAGCCTTCATTGATTTCAGTAAAGCTTTTGACAAAGTTCCGCACAACCGGCTGTTATATAAGTTAAGAAAAGTCGGGATTGGAGGCAATTTATTGATGTGGATAAAAGACTTCTTAGTTGGGCGTCAACAAAGAGTAAGGGTGAACTCTAAGTTGTCTAGCTGGGAAACTGTGCTTAGTGGGGTGCCCCAGGGTACAGTTTTGGGGCCAGTGCTATTCCTAGTGTATGTAAATGACCTTCCTTGTCTCCTATCATCATCGGTCTTGCTATATGCTGACGATGTCAAGATATGGAAAACGATACGATGTAAGAGTGATAGCTTAGAACTTCAAAATGACCTGAAGAAGTTATCTGAATGGTCTCAAACATGGCAGTTGCCGATAAATACTTCCAAATGTGTTGTGATGCATATCGGTCATCAAGGCACAGATACATACACGATGAATAATACTGAGCTACCTGTCGTCCAGACATATAATGACTTGGAAGTTATCGTTAGTCAAAACTTAAAGACTACTGCACACTGCCGTGCAATAGCCGCCAAAGGTTTTAGAACGTTATGGTCAATACGTAGAGCTTTTAGTCATGTCGACGCAAAAACGTTTTTGACTTTGTATACAGTGTTCGTTCGTCCTAAACTTGAGTACTGCATACAAGCGGCTAGCCTCTGCTTAAAAAAAGACAGTGAGCTTCTGGAAAAGGTTCGGAGAACGGAGACTAGGCTGATTCCCGGAATAGCGAAGCTTCCGTATGAATCTCGACTGGCCAAGCTGAACCTTTCCCGTTGTCATATCGCAGAACTAGAGGCGACTTGATTACAGTCTACAAACTGCTTAGTGGTAAATTTGCACCTGATATGCCCTCATTTTTCTTGTCTTCCAAAACAGAGAATTTACGAGGACACTCCAAAAAAGTTCATAAGCCGAGAACAAATTACTTGTCAACTGACTATCGACTTTCCCATCGAATCATCAACGAGTGGAATTCACTACCTCAGCACGTGGTTGAGGCTCCATCCGTCGACTCTTTCAAAAGAAAGTTGGATCAACTGAGAGACCACCATTGCCAGGACTAACATGGGCCATTGAGCCTCTTGTCCTTCCCAAACTGTAAACTGTAAACTGACTAGTTGATAGTACTTCATAAAAAATTTACTGATTACTCTCTGGAGACTAGGTAAAGACAAATCTATATTTGTGATGTGAAACTGATAATCTGAAAGTGTTTCGAATAAATCGTCCGAGATATTGTGTATCCTCATACACTTCTATATTCA